GTTGATAAAGCTGCTGCCATTGCTGCCCATAGATGATGGAAATTTTTCTGGCAGCCTGATGGGTAGGAACAAAATGAACAGGAGTAAAAAGAGAAGGTGCTGATAGATGGAGAAATGGGGAAACTTGTGGCAGAAAAAAAAATAAGGAAGAAAAAAATACAAATTCAGGTGTAATATAGTCTTAAGAACACATACTGAGAAGAAAACTACATAAATATGTACATGCATATATACATAACAAATTTCTATAGCACTTTCAGGTCTTCAGTGTACAGTGTATCTTTTTGTAATGCTCAGATAAATCTAAATTTAGTTAGTATTATTGTCTTACAGATGATACAGAGACAGACCAAAAATTAGAAAATGATTTTTTATTTTTTATTTTTATTATTTTTTTGCTTTAGCCTATAGCACCCTGAATTCACCAGCCAGCATGGCCAGTGGCTGTGCTATACTGAGAATTCTGTAGTGCAGAAGAATGTTGTTTCCTAGCTTTGGGACAGATTAAGGCTGTGAGAAAATGGCTTGCCTAAGGCCACTTACTGAACTCATGGCGAAAATGAGATTTAACCCAGAAACTTCCTATTTTGTAGCTTAGGGCCAGAACAGACAGGCCAAATGAAGAGGCTTCCGGCCACTTTGAAGACATGGAGTTCAAACGATGCACACTTCCAAATCAGTTTGAAGATGCACGGAAGATGTGCTCTGGTCCTTTGGACCAGAGCAAAAAGGAGCTGGCTCCTGGCAGTGTGGGTTGGGTCGTGCGGCAATGACCTGCTTTGGGAGTGCACCTTGCGGTCAGCACAGTCCTGACCCACTTGAAGCTGGAGTGGACTAGGACCGCTCTTTTGCACCCGTCTGCTCCAGCCCTTAATCTCTTAATCAATACACTAGTCTATCAGTAGAAATCAGTGACGTTTCTTAGTAAGCATGACTAGGAACAGGTTTTAAGGGTGTTCTTAAAAATAATTACAATGTAATAGAGGGACTGGGTTGATAACCACAGTAAGTAAAATATTATTCTTTGCAACTTAAAATACTTTATCAAGCCTATTTAATGACTCTTGATTGTCAGTCTTCCCATTTGTGGCAGCCACATATTCTTTAAAAATGCATCTAGGTGTATATAGCAGAGGTGAATCCTTTAACTATTTGATTTGCTTGTCTTTTCTTGGCTGACAGGTAGTAAAAGAAAGTGGGCCACCACACATGAAGAGTTTTGTTACTCATGTGTCAGTGGGAGAGTTCTCTGCCGAGGGTGAAGGAAACAGCAAAAAGCTGTCAAAGAAGCGTGCTGCAATAGCTGTCCTTCAAGAACTTCGAAAACTTCCACCTCTTCCTGTGATTGAAAAAACAAAACTTAATTTTAAAAAACGTCCCAGAACAATATTAAAGGTAAGGGTCTTTGACACATTCCAGTAGTACCATTTAGTATTATTCCAGTGTCAGACTTAATCATCATTTCATTGTTTTTGGTTTACAAGACAGTCAAAGTTTTTAAAGTAAGCTAATTTGAGGCTATTTTTAAGATCAAGCCATGATGATTACAACTGATGTTCTTTTACTTGAGGTAACAAACCACTTTTCCTAAAATATCTCTGTGGCTGACAGTTTTAAGGATAACTTGACTATTGACATCAACTTTACAACTCTTTATTTCAATACTGATAATTGTAACTAGTACCTGAATGATAAGAGCATGTGTGAGAGCCAAATCTCTGATGGAAAGTATCAAAACTAAGGAACCAAAAGGACTTGATAGTCCATATAGTGGACCTGAATGAAGCCTGCAGGCCAGCGTGAGAGAACCTGCTTTCCTGCTAGCTACACTCTTCTATTGACTGCTTTTCGCACCACTGCAGCAAGCCTGTAAAAATTGCACAGGCTCATGAGAAAGAGCTGCTGACTGAGTTGGAAAAAATGGCACCAACTGTCCACCCACACCCTACTCAGCTGCAGACCACGAGGTGAGTTGCAGCTCTAGGGCCATTTCATTTCAGAAAAAGTATATTAGGCTCACCTCTTGCTATCTTTATGAAAACCTGGGCAGTAGCATTTTGCAGCAGCTGCAGCTCCTGGGCCTATATTAGGAAGTTATCAGAACTTGGGCTACTTTAGCAAAGTTATCCAAATGACTAGCTGGCAGATGAATCTTATCTAATCTATGGAGTTGTTTTTAATGTTTTAGCTAATTGTCTGGAATTTTTTTATGTTTAATGTATAAAATTCAGCTGTTAATTATTTAATTATCTGATGGAGTATTTTATAACATTGAAATTTTGTTATCAGTTTTAAACATAAATCATGCATATGGCCTTTGGCTTAAGCATTAATAACATTGATTGATTGATTGACTGACTAGCTGGCAGATGAATTTTAGGTGGCCATAAGCATTGCTTCCTGCCAAGGATGCCAGACTCTGCAGTGAAAGCTTTGAATCAAGAAGAACTCCCAAACTATGTACTTTTCCATCAGAGAAGAACTAGAAACAGGTCCTCTGTCTAGGTTCCATCTCATCTCATAGTAACTGTGGATTTAATCAGTAAGCTCCCAGTGCTACTACTGTCTGATAATAATCCTGAAGGAAGGAGTGGGACCACTGTAATAAATGCTCATACACCCAACCCCTGAGGCATTCCAAGAGGCACCCATGATAAATTGGAGCAAAAGCCATCAAGAGATAAAGGAAAATCAACAGTACAGCACTGCCCCATCTCTCTTTAAAATGTAGTCTTCCGTGCTGATTTCTGTACTGTGTTCAGACCTAAAGCCAGATTGAAATGGGTTTAAAAAATTCATGTCATATAAGAATGCCTTCTGCTTGTGAAGAATGAATGCATGTGAGGCCAATCCATCAATGCAGGCAAAAGCCACTCCCTTTCTTGGCAATGTGGGGCCTTGGAACAAAAGGCAGTGAACAACAGGCAATAAAAATTTCAAAACCTTTAGCAACAGAGAAGTATTTTGCTATGTTATCCAATGGAACCAAAACAAAGACAGTACTGTGATTTGGGATCCAATATTATCAACTTTTTGGGGTGTCTTCAAAACAAACAGTTCAGATTTCTGTGTGTCCCCCCCTCTAGATTTGACATTTATTAACCAATTTTGACTAAATTTGATATTTGCACTTAGATTGACATCCCATTGTCATACGGGTTTCAGACTAATCAGTGAGCTTTACTTTTTTGTGGGGAGGGGGATTATTGGTTTTAGTTCATTTTGTATGGAACATGATATGAAATATTTTTTAAAGATTGTAGGTGCTACTACTCAAACTTTTGTTCCATCCAGATCATAAGCAAAATAGTCAACATCAACCCATATACATTTCCTAGTATACAATAAAATGACAATTTTAAAAGTTGTACTGCAATTGCCTGTATCATTAACACAATGGCACCTTCTTTGTTTCCCTGTGTCCTTTAGAAGGAGTTGCCTTGCCCAGAAAGGGGCATATGGGAAGTGGTCCTTATTTTTCTGCTACCAGCTGATTTCCCCCCCCTTGAAATTTGTTGTCTCTCTCTGTTCCCTTCCTTATCCGCCTATGATAAATGTTCTGGACTTTCCTTTGCTTTATCATGGGAAAGTAGAAGCAGTGTAGGGAGGAGAGTTCCTGGGAAAAAATACATGGTGGGGAACGAGCTAAGCACCTAGTTCTGAACCTGTTGTTAACAAAGCTC